GGGGAGGGAGGAGGGAGTTCTCACCATACCTTGTTTTGTGCAGAATCAGTGTTAGAAATTGAAAAATACTCGCAATAAGTAGCCTTATTCTATTTTATTTTGCTATGGATTTGAAATGAATGAGTTGTAAATGAACGAGGAGAATTCTACTCAAGCATGTCTCCCCCTTCCCCTCCCCCCTCGAATAAGTCTCCCGTCTGATTGACGCTTTCCCTCTCCCCAACTGGGGATAATTGAAGCGTTTACAGTAGTTATTCATTTGTAGTGAATACCGGGCGAGCGCCTGATCGCAGAATGGCCACCAATGGTTGGGCTGCAACTGAGGTCGCTTGCTCTTGCAACTGGATCGGCACCTGACCAGCTTCAAGTCGGTCATAAGAAACGCTTAGCTGTTTAATTACCCTGGTATATTCAATAGATTACACTCCATCAGATATTTTCTCTTGCATGATTAGTCTAGACGCGCCACAGCATCCAATTCTTTGTTTTCAATCACGTGATCAAAATTGGATGAATCACTTCCGGCGGCCATGTTGGAAGATATACAAAGCTGTTATAATGGCGGACGCGACTAGTTCTTCTCACATTGATATTGTATTTGACGACTATTGGTTAACTTTAGATGATGTTACGAAGGCTCGCTATCCTGACAAAGCTCTACTGTGTGGTTTTGATCCATATAAGTTGAAAAAGAGCGATTTTTCAGAAGATTTAAGCTTGCTTCCCGCCGTTCAGTTCCCGGATATCGTGAACTATTTGGTGGTTCAAACGTCTTGGACAATCATGTTGCAAATGAAATCCTACAAAGCCATGGAAGCTTACAACTTTTTCGTCTCGGGCTGGGTAAACACTCTTCAATTCAAGAAAACAGGAGGAAAAGTCGAGTCAAGTTTACGGCAGTTTTACTATATTTTGAGCTTTGGCCAACAAATATTCCAGCTTATGTTGTTTAACTTGAAATAATATACTTCTTTTCTGCATTTTTATGTAAGAGGATAAAATCTTTAAAAGACCTATTGTAGGTTAAGTGTGCAGTTTAAAGATGTTTTATATACAAACCTAACTTCTAATGCTGCCACCAAATACCCATTTTTTATTTCCAACTAGAAAAAGTAATAAGTCAATTCTTTCTCATGCAGGTTAATAGCAAATGCTCAGCTTTGCATTTGTATCAATGAGAGTATCATACATTTTCTCTTAAACCATGTATTCATTGAGAGTCAATTGTAAAATTCAACAGTTTATTGTACAGTAGTCACACAAGTTTT